GTGATTGTAAATTGTCCGTAGGTGTGAATGTGAGTGTGCTTGGTTGTCTGTCTCTAAGTGTAGCCCTGTGATAGACTGGTTACCTGTCCAGGTGAACCGGTGACCAGGTGGGCACATCAACGAGCCTGCAGAAGGATTCCAGCGACATTATTTCTCAAGTTATTCAGACGTCGTTTCACAGACTGACGCCAAGAAAACGAAGCAAACATTGACGCGACCCCAAATTTCTTTCTCCACTGTAAGGGATGGGCACATTTATTTATTGACTTTCTTTACAAGACAGAGGTTGTTGACATGCAGCCTCCACACGAGCACAGCCAGGAACACTGGAGAAGAAGATGCGGTTGCAACCAGCAGCTCTGCCCGTCGCGTGGAGATGCTTTGTCTCCAGAAGGAGGATGGATGCATTGTGAAGTGCTCTGTGGTGGAGTGTTCAGGGAGCACGCTGGCCAGTGCAGCAGCAGGACTCACAGATGTGTGCTGAACAGCTGTACTGTAGAACATGTGCTATGGGTTTGGTTCTGCACAGCGGGTCAGCCTCTATGTTCTGTTTTTGGGTTGAGTGTCGATGTCAAGTATACGTAATCAATAAAGACTGATAACCAATATTCATTAAATGTGGTACATTAATCGCTAACGAGGCTGCTTTGTTAATATAGACTGTTATTACTGAACATATATGTACAGTTGAACCAGAAGTAATAAAAACATCCTGTCTCATTTTTCTGGCGTTTATCAAACATAAACAATGCTGGTGATCGTGGCTGACCTGAAACAGGAAGCGTTCAGTCTGATTTAATGTCAGGCAGTAAAACAGCTTCGGTGTCTCCTCTACGGTGGATGTAAACTGGTTCCAGCTGCACATGAATACACTGAGAGTGATGTACTCTATGGATGCTATGTGGTAGGAGGGAGCCTGCCCATCACAGCGAGGTCATTCTGTTAGGACTGATTACTTAAACTTGGTATGTACAGCAGAGATGGCAGTGATGATGCCCCATGATGGCAGTGATGATGCCCCATGATGGCAGTGATGATGCCCCATGATGGCAGTGATGATGCCCTATGACTCTGCAGCACTCTGTTCACAGTTTCCTGCTCGTCTTCTCTTTTTCCATCCTTTTCTTTCTGTTACATCGCTTTTGTTGCCCACTAGGTGCTGATCTTAAAGCATTCTCATATATTAATAAACCTGAAAGCATCAGGCGCTGGTGGGGATGTTCTAAACCTGCATCCTAACTGCAGCCACAGCGACAGAAGGTCACGTCCTGATCTGTGGCACTGGCTGTTCTGTTCTGCTCAGTCTGCAGGTTGCATCTCACAGACGTCTGTCTGTTATAGCAGATGGATAACGTTTATCAAATCAAGTCAAAATAAAAGTCAGATCCAGTTTATCGTCATGGTGCTGTACGTCCACAGCAGCACAGGCAGGATGAGAGCCTTTCTCCAGGATCCAGGAACGTAAAGCAGTTTAAATAAACAAGTGTTTGCATCTCTGGATCAGCAGTTCAGCGTTCTGACAGCTGATGGAGTGAAGCTGTTGGTCAGTCTGGAGGTTCTTCCTCTAACGCTCCAGAAACGTTTTCCTGATGGCAGCAGTTCAGACAGTTGATGGAGAGGCTGTGAGGAGTCCCTGACCATGTTCAGGGTCCTGCTCCTGCAGCAGCTCTGGAGAAGCTCTTGGACAGACGTCTTACTTTAGGAGGATGTTACGGTCCTCTAGACAGACTGAGAGGCTCAGAAAACCTTCTGGTGACACCCTCAGCACTGATGTGTGGTGGATATCACCTTCACACTCTCAGCATCTCAGCAAACATCAGGCCAGTGGCTGGTCCATCCCTGCTCTGCACATGAGATGTGTTTATAGTGAGATAAATATGGAACATATGCAGGCTTATGTGACTCTGAGGAGGGTTTTAGGAAACAGGGTTGTGGCAACTTGTTGACCAAAATAAACGGCGTGGCTCCTGATGCGTGCTCTGCAGTCGCTCTATTCATAGACCAACGGTCTGTGGCTCAGAAACCAAGGATGTTGTGATCAGAGGCCCCGTGTGGCAGCGTCTGAACCACCAGGCTGCCACAACAGCCCTTCATCAGCTGTCCAATCAGATATCTACAGTCACGTGTTCAGAGTGTGAGCATTCTGTTGGACAACTTATCACCGTTTGGTTGAATCACCAAACCTTCATTTGTGTGTGAAGGTCTCTAACGAGTGATATTTCTCAGAGCAGTGTGTGAACCATATGGTGGCTTCAGAGGAGCTGACATTATAGAGCACCTGGTCCAGCTGTTCTTCATCACCAGTCCTATTGAGGATATCAGTTATAAGGAACGAGCTGCAGCTGCCTGCGTTCAGCACAGCGGAGGCTACGGTTTGTTCTCATGTGTTACGGCAGTGGAAGAAGAACGTTTGGTGTTTTTGTGTGTGATCTTCAGTGTAAGTCTGCATGCAGGTGTTTCTGTGTGAATCAGTGACTCATCGCACTCACACAGGAGTCGTACATTAGTCCTGATGTTAGATGCAGTAAATGGAAAAGCACGGCATGACGGCAGCACTTTAGAGACTTCACAGATCTATTGAGGGTGAGAAATCCTGTCCTTTATTCTTTTCTGTTTTCTTTAGAGGGGTCCAGCACCACCTGGGTCTCCTGTGGTTCTGCCCTAAAGGACACTTCTGGGATTTGTCCTTTCAAATATAACGTAGAACAAAACATAAAGATGAGCCAGTAGAAAGGGTTTTAAATGTAATCTCTGCCATGATCAGAGCGTTTCACTCTGTTCATGGGTTGAATGACCCAGAACCACCTGTTTAGTAGTTCAGTCGTGCACAGCAGCATGTTTGGTTTGACGTGGTACACATGCACTCTGTAAACATGTCGGAGCGCCGTACAGGCTGTTCATAGCTGTGTGCAGCATTTAATGATGAAATAAAAGATGCTCCTTCACCCTCAGAAGGTTGGTTTGTTTTTCCCACACTGACATGAACCACAGTAGGCCGTGTTCTCCTGTAACCTGTTGTAAGTATTAACCAACAAAGCTACGCACGATTCAAAAAACAAAACAAAGACATTTTAGGTATTTTTGAAAGTGATCAACATTTCTCAGTACTTCATGTTTCCGCCCTGTGTGAGCAGCCTGCACATCTTCTCGACCTCGTTTGTTTCCTCCAGCTGAAGGTCGAGGTCTTCCAGGACAAGAAAAGAAAAGGCCACACTTGTGTACCGCTGTGTTCGGCTTCATTCATCGTCACAGTGAGACAGCACTCTGAGCTACAAGAGAACATTTCATTAACACACTTTCACCTCCCTGGGCAGCCTCAGCATGCGCTCTTAGGCAGAGACCAATACGTATGATCTGCTCGGTACAGCGAAGGCAATAAGTCTGTAATCCTGTTTGACAGATATGTCTGCATATTCCATCTGATTCTACTGTTAGCTAGCTACACTGAGCATCCTGAGGAGGCAGCAGCTAGACAACGATAAAGTGGAGATCCCAGGAGCTTCACAGAGCAGGTCTGGTCAGAGTGGTGCAGGGCAGCTGGTTATCCAGCAACAGCCTGATATGTAGCAGCTGTGGATGAACGGCCAGAAGTGAAAGACGTCTAATTTACATTTATGTTTATTTCTTCAACGATTGTTCGATAAATTGCAGTGAAGCACTGCTGGAGAAGATTTGCTATGTTTATGGTCATTTCTTATTGTTTTGGCACAAGTGGTTCAGTATGCAGCAAAACCCCCACTGGGGCTGCTGCATACTCAAAGTACTGGTTCTGACATCAGAACAGCCCCAAAAAGCTGATCAAGTCATGTATGTCACGGCAGGCTTAAGTTTCTGGTGACTGGTGTAGCTGTAGATGTTCACGATGGAATCACTGAAATCCATTCGTCTGTGTCACAGAAAACAATCATGCGTTCTGGTTCTTTCATAGACTTATTAAAGGTCTTCTGGAAATATGCCAAAGTCTGTTGGGCCGAACATCTATGGACAGAAGTGCTGATGTTTAGTTAAACGTGCCTTGACCAGGGCTGCAGGTGTCTCCTTCCTCTTGAAGACATTTTTCTTTGTCCATCTGATCAGCTGGAAGCTTTAAGGTCAGACAGAATGAAAACACGGACGGGCTGACGTCATGGCAACAGTCACGGTTCAGAAAGCCACAGATGGGGTTAGATGGAGAGAAAGGGCACAGCACTGGATAGGTTTAAGCTTGTAGAGGAAGACTTACTCCATGGTGATGTAACCCTGTGGACACTGACGTGTGGTCCAGCAGCTGGTAGTTCATGGCAGGACTGCTTTTTGGCGATTTTTGGTTGACTCTTGACCAGTTGTCCCGCAGCAGGAAGTGGTAGCTGTTGTCTTCTTGGTTGTGTCAGTGAGATAACTCTGCTCTATGAGCTTACAAACAGTTGTTGACACAGAGGATTTTAGGATCTGAAGCTGCTTTGAAAAGGCTCCAAGTAACTTTCCTGACGTCTTCAAGTCAGTGATTTCTTTTTGAAGATCTTTGCGGGGCTCCTTAGACTTTCCCACTGACTGACTCTGAGTGGATCAGATTGGCCTTATTTAAATTGGCTCAGCTTTATGAATCACCAAAACTGATAATAAAGTTGCTGGTTGTATATTTTTCCAGTGGACCAATAATAAATGAAAAAACCCAAACCAGCTTGTTGTGACAGACAGGTAGGTATCGATGATGTCATCACAGCGCTCTGGGAGAAAAAAAATAACAATTACTGTACTTTAAATTGCAATCAATTTGTTTTTCTTTCAGCTTCAGACGGACGTCAGCGAGGTCATTGCCGTTTCTCTGGTGAAATGTTTTGCTTTAAGGGCTGATATACAGTCATGGATGAGATGATCAGACCACCTTGTGTTCTTGTTCATGTTAATGCCTGGTACCACTAAAGGTCCATTACCTGAAGAATACAGTGAACAGGACACAACATGCAGCTGATCCTTCGTCCTTTCTGTCCTGTGTGACCTGCTTCAGCTTCATGTGTTCCCTGTAGGGTCCATAAGAGGCCGTTTCATGTCAGCAGCAGCACATGCAAAGACCTGGAGTGGTTTCCTGCTGACATTCAGGCCGTAGCACAGCTCAGAAGCTGTCAGCTCTCACATAACGCCTAAAACACAAGAACTATGTGAAGCCACAAAGGCAGCCATCTTGG